CCTTATTTATGAAAAAACAATGAATGAAATGGTAAAAAGTTTAGGATAACCATTATTTATTTCATCAGAATTTATTGATACACAATTTTATTATTCACAGATTAAATTCATTGTATGATTTAACAAATTACACATTCACTGTAAAAAGTTGTTAATAAAACCACAGCTTTAATTATAGTTCGTCCAACCTGTCACTTCGTTTATCAATTGGTAACTTTTTTAAGATAAATGATTTACTATAGAAAATTAAGTTAAAGATTTTCTACAAGACAATTCATAGAATGAAATATTTGCAAAGTCTAAATGTGTAGAAATTAAATTGTCCTGTGCTAGCAACTGTATGATGCACTAGTTTCTAAAACTAAAGCATGATCACACTCCTAGAGGTTTCCCTATTGTTTATTTCTCTACACATGCTTACTGAGTGATTCAACATAACAGGATTTAAGGCTATCTAGTTGTTTCCTGGTGTAACTCCTGGCCCCAGCATTCCCTGATCTTGATTTGTTTATCAAAATAGCCTCCAGGGTTTGAGAGCTCATGTTAGGCCTGAATGCAGTGTGAGTTTTTCTGACCATGCTGAAAACTCTTTCACAGTGTGCACTGGAGTGTGGGATGGTTAGGATCCTTAACATGAACTTGGGCAGAACTTGAAACATCTGTACACCATTCTCATCTTTCATCTGTCCCATTTCTGCCCATGCTTCATCCAGCCGATCCTTCTTGATATCCCTGATGTCAGTTACCTGATATAGAGCAAACTCGCTTTCCAGTTTCCCTCTCTCCTCTTCTGGTATCAGGCATGGGAACTTCTTCAGAAAGAACTGTACTGATGACTGATAGCTTTCAGTCTGCCGCTGCATGTCTGTGACTTCTGCATGTTTCAGCAATTCACATGAAAGAGGCAGCTTCTGTTTAATGTATGAACAGGCTGTTGAGAAGAATGATTTCACATTCTTGTGGAATTCCTGAATTCGCTTATCCCTCAGGTGGTTGTCTTTCTTCTGAGAAAGAAATGCTTTTGCCTCATCTCCAATGAGCAGATCATTTTCAGCCTTAATGTTGCTGGATACAGTGAACTGCACATCAAGGACACCCTTGTAAATCATAGCTGACGGTTTGACGAACATTACTAAGAGTTCTTTGAGCAGACTGTGCAGGCGTCTACGCAGAACATGGATCTTTGGTTCAGCACACTGCAGCTCTGTGTTATATTTATCAAAAACAGCTATGGCATGCTTCAAAAACAAACAATACAATCTGTTTGTTGGTGACTTGAAGAATGCCTTCATTCGGTCAAGACGATCAGCTTGCTTTGAGCTTGTTGAAGAACTTTCCTCTCTAATGAATTGGAGAAGCGGATCCCAGTTCTCAAGAACTCTGTTAAGGCATCTTGAAACACTTAACCAGCGGGTGCACACATGTTTCAGCATGTCAGCATCTTTTAGCTCGTGAAGCACCTGCATTGCTTTGAGCGAAGATTTTCGTAGTGAACTCTTGTCTAGGTAATAGTAGACATCCACAAGAATCTGATCAATGCTGAATGGAAGGCAATGAGCAGCTGCAAATAACATTGAATAACATTTGTTAGGACAAACTCAATGAATATTGAATAAAACAATACTGATACCATATAATCAAACAATATTTAAATTCAAATTAAAATACATTTTCAAAGACATTTTTGCTTATTTCAATAATGAATTCAAATACCATTTTCAGCTGCATGGTGAATCAGATGACACGCGCAGCCAGACAGATAAATGGAAGGGTGAACTGTAAGCATATGTCCATACACTCCATTCTTCTTCCCGACCATCACATTGGCATTATCAGACCCTAGTGCTATACAATTTGTCCAGGGAATGTGTTCATCTTGAAACACTTTGTCAATCAGATCAAATATGGCCTTCCCTACAATAACAACAAAAATATAAAAATCAATGTGATTTACAAGTAACTCATAATGCAACACAGAATCATAACATTTGCATTGGTTTTAATAAAAGTATTATAAACTAAAGCAGTTAAAGGGACACAAAAGAGGATTCTCCCGCCAACACTAACATCAAACGAATTTTCCCAAGGTAAACGGCATTTTTCCACCTTTTATCATCCTTTTCTAACACTCGCCATACTTATGTAACAATTTTGGAAAAAGGTGAAATATCCAAACCTGTGCTTAAGCGCGGGTTTGTCTTGATGGCTGACTACATAGGCTGAATAGGGGACAGTGAATATAGCTGTTTTGCGATATTGTTTAAGGCCATCTATCTTTGAATTTATGTTTTAAACGTTTTTATTGTACTCATGTAAGTTCAACAAGAAGCGATTCATGTCTTTACATTGCGATCAAAATCCTATTTTGTGTCCCTTTAATATTTTAACTTAATCTCAACAAATAATGCTACTATGAAATCATATTGAATAAGAAAATAAAAAACAAAATAAAAAATACACACCATCATGCATCAATGATCAGTCAGCAGGCAGAACGATTGTTAAAAAAAAAACTGAACATGAACAATCTCTGAAAACAAAACAAAAGAAAATATATTCTCTTCACAATTGATGAACAAACTTGACTGGGTTGAAAGTGTTAGTATATGAATAAAATACATGCATATATTCCCCACAAAAAGTAATTGTAATATATTATTAGCGAAGTTTTAAAATTCCATTCACTACTAATGTGCGTGTGTGTGTTTGTATATTCACATGTATTGCAATAAAATATTATTATTTCATATAAAAATTTCAACTTTACCTGTTGCTGATCCTTTACAAGTCGGCACACTCAGCACGTCTGATCTGACCTCAGAAGTTTGTGGATCGACGCATCTAATCACAAGAGGGAATAGTTTCTCCGTATCGTTGCTACCATCTGTCGATATGGTAAAAGGGTTGTCTTTGATTATGTCGATCAAACGTTTCTGGGTATGCTGGGCATTTTTCTGTACAATTGCCGTTGTTTTTGAGCGCCCGCATGCAAACGATTTGGCGATTTCAGAGTCACTGAACTTGGTTTTACATATGGCTGTTATTTTGTCCATAATTGAAAATGGGAGATTTTGTTCCACACAGAGATCGACGAAGGCAACCTCCGCATCAATCACATTATATTTCAGTTGAGTCGTCTTTTGTAAGAACTTGCTCATGCTTGAGCTGACTGCGGCCTTCGCCAACTTGGCATATTCAGCGTGTTTCTTCGACTGCACATGTCGGCGGCAGTCATCCCGGCCACCGTGCGCGATGGAAATGTCCACGCAGCACACTTCACAATACGTATGACAACTGCCTTGTTTGCTTGCCTTTAAGCAAGGCCACTGTAATGTGTAGCTGGGGATAAAGTTTTGGCTCCGTTTCTTCGCGCTTTTGTCATTTTCTTCACCTTTACGCTTCTCCGCCATTTCTGACAACACGAGTGTAGCAGAATGAAACTGGTGATCTTTTCAATACGCATGTGTCAGTCCCTACATAGGTTACTTACACAAGACATGATTGGATAGTTAGATACGACACTTCCGCTATTGTATTGTGGACTCTACTTACTACGGTATAAACAAAAACAAACAATTCAATCAATGGTTATATTAAATATACCCTAATAAAACGTATTTCAAAACTATTCTTCCGTAATTGTCAAATCCGTACAAAATATGGCCAAATCGTAACGATAGGCATCTCTGAAACAACCATTCTAGAACTTGGGCTATGTACATTGATTGGAAGATGTGTACAAAGTGCATGTGTACAATACAACTCAACCATATCAGGATAATTATTTAGGCTTGTGATTTCTCATCAAAGGCTGCATATAATCAAAGATCACTTAAAACTTTGTTTTCAGCAATGTTGGGGTTTGATTGCAGCAGGTCAAAATGTTCCTTTGCAGTCACCTCTCCATATCTACATGGCTAGAGGTTTATTTCGCAGAAAGCACATTTTATCTAATTAAACAAATGTTTAGAAGACAATGAGAAGCAAGCACACCAAATTAAAGTTTACATAAGGCACAAAGCTTACAAAATATATTACCTGTAGTGTCTGCATATGAATTCCGCAATATAACATGGCTATGAGAATGTCATCATGGTACACACATCTTATAATCATTTAACAAAAAACTGAATTATCAATTTAACAGGATACTAATACTGGATACTAAGCAAAATATAACAAATGTCATTTTAAAACTTACCAAGCATTGCCTATATGGTTTGTTTTCCAACAGTTCCTCTACCCTCTCAAGAGCAACTTCACTAGAAATAGGCAGATCAAATTCTTTAAGAAGTTGATCTTCACCTATTTCCAGTGAAGCTGCTTCTTTCTCCAGAATCTTTTTTAGCTATAAGGTATTAGTCCTCACCATTCCTTTCAACACCTCAACTTTGGTGAGAAGTTTCTTCATGCTGAAACGGGGAAAAAAGTCAAATATAATGGAGGAAGAAAAAGTGTAGTTAATAACATATGTGGAGAATTTTACACATTTCATTACATATATTTTAAGAAGAATAATGTACTAAATTCCAGAAGAGAGTGGCAGGCAAGAAATAAGCTAAAATTAATTTCTTAGTTGTTTACTCCTTAATCCATTGATAGGAATGAAAGTTAAACTACTGCATCTTACCATGGCAATGACACATTCAGCACTTTAACTATATACACACATACCTTTCACTATATACACACATACCTTTCACGTGTATTTCCTTGTGAGGATTGACTGCTCACAGGCGACAAGTAGGTAGTACTGCATGATGGAAGACTATAAGAGAAATATGAGATACATATAAAGTGTGGCTTTGTAATGTGCACAAAATGCCTTGTCTAATTATGAGCCTAAACCAAAATGAAACATTATTTATAGTTATGTTTCACAGTTTAAGATTTAAAACTGAAATGAATAATTTTACAAACATGACTCACTTCATCTCCTGCCTAGTCAACAATTCTGCATTGTTTCTGTAAGGAGAGTGAGTTACATAATTATATACATATATGACAAATATGACAATTCAACTTAGTGAAATTAATAAACAACAATTGAAGTGAAATTAATGAACAACAATTGAAAATCGGTTATTTGAATGTCTATCAGTGTTAATGCAACAAAGAAAAAAATAATTGTCACAGTCTCTAAGATGAGACAATAGACAATACAGTTGCCTAGTAACAATAAATACACATTGTTACGGACGGATTCTCATAACATAAAGCAATGTTCTTGAACAATTTTACTATATTACTAAGCTATGATTAACACATAACAATTTTCAGAACTAGAACATAATATAACAAGCTAAACAAGAATAAACAATATTACAGTTAATCTTAAAAGTCATTTGTACATGAATGATTATAATGTCTTGAAGTTGATGGATGGTGCACACATGTATGTCAATAAATGCCACCTCGGGCAGTCAGGCCTATCGCCACATCCTCCTCCTCGCTTTAAAGTTAAATACATCCACATTGTCAAACAAATTATTGTTCACCTCAATAACATTCTCCCGCGGCACAGTTTCTCATGAAAATCCAAGTCACACTGTCACCGCTATAGTTATGCATCGACGGATTCGGAGACAAACGTCATTCAGTCACATACAAAATACCTCTCTCCATTGGGAATCCATACATGTTGTACACGGGTCCTTTTCCCAGAATATTTCTCATGTTTGAATCGTAGATCAATGACAAATCTCGCACCATTCATCAGCCCCGGTCATCAGTACATGTATCGCCATGCTGCGGAGAAAACGCTTCTGTTGCGTTCACTTGACCTTGACCTTTTTTTCTCTTCTGGAGCGTGCAATTTGCAATGTTCCGATTGGTCAAAAAGTCACGAGATACCACAATCACATTATAACATAACACATTATAACGTAACAACATGTGCACTAATACTAAAAGGGCATTTGTCACCTACCCATTCTTGGCTTTTTTCAATTACCACTTGGTTCTTATCAGATCTATTAATTGTATTTCCGAGGTTATTTACTTTTTGTGTACCTTATATCAACTTCACAATGTGTCATACAAATAAAAAATCTAAACTGACATGGCATTGTATTCAATAATACTAAAAAACATCACTGTAAAAAGTTATACCATACCTAATGGTCAATGAAACGGGAAACGGAGGTAACTGTGTTGGTGTACATGTAGGTTGACTCTCTTTCACCTTCNTGCTTGAAATGCCGTTTAAACCTGGTGCTGTGATCACTAACCACCACTGCGCATGTCGGCCCGCGTATCGGTACAGAGATTGTGGCGCCACCTGCCCAATGCCCGGATGTATTAAACCAAGAAGTTATAAAATCTCTTTATAACTTCTTGATTAAACTAAGCTTAACTCCCGAACTGCACACGCGCCGTAGTATTTGTGTTTTACGCCATTTCAAATTAACATAAAACACCAAATACCACTGTTGCACTTCGAGAGTTTATTATCAGGCACACAATTTCGATTGTGTAACTCATTGTCACAGTTTGTTACTCATTGTTAATTGCATCTGATTGTGTGCCTGATAATAAACTCTCGAAGTGCAACAGTGGTTTTATTTTTCGATTACATAACAAGTAGGCAACCAATCATCGGGGGATGTTAGTAGTAGAAAACTGGCCTACCTAGCTAAACCATTGAAAAACTCCAACACCAGTTATTTTTAATATGCGGCTCCAAGTGAGAGGGCTACATTTTTGACCAAGCGGTTGACGCGGGAGGGGGTTTTAACCCGCCGAATTACCAGAAGGTTGGGTTGTTCCATGAGAACCATGCATTTAGAGGGTTAGACAACATCATAACCAAACAGGCACACGGGCAAGATTACCTGGATAAGGCCGACCGAAGGAAACCACTGAAAACAAAAATGATTTCATACCATCTTTGCACCGTGGAATGCCATCACTGCTCAAACGTTACAGAACTTTTTGACTCCACGCACAGACAGGTCAGGTGCGTCTTCCAATTCAGAGTATACTGTAAAAAATACCAAAATGTAGCTTTTATTTATTTTTTACCATCGTTAACTTATGCATTTTTTGTACAATCAGTAATTTTTTTGTGAAAAGATCCTCCTTTTTGAAATAGGGGGCACAGTAATTAAATCTCGGCTTCATTCGTGTGAGAGGCGGAGAGACCATTTCAAGATTAAGCGGTCTTCCTTTCATGTAGGGTCCACCATATTTGATCATTGGACCAGTTGATACTCTAATCTTCTATATTCTGAATGACCCGATGTTAAGCTTTTCCTTCCACTTGTCATGGTTGTAAAGAGGTATTGCTTCTTTATCTGAATCAATTTCATTGTTTACCGACTTTAATAATACAAGATTTTTATTCGTTATTACTGTATGAGCCCATTTAGAATAAAAGTTCCAAGGATTTTCTGATCCACTGATCAAAAATGGCGGACACCACATGAGAGAAGAGGCGAGTTATATGCTGATAGTCTCCCCGCCTCCACACGCGCCATTAAACAGATTAAATAACGACATCCCTGCAAGTATTGAGCAAAAATTGGCCAAATTGGTCAGACTACGTAAGAATTTGGCGGGAGGTGACCAGCGCACATAGACGAGTTTATTCCATATAAACTCGTCCAAGCGATGTTTCCAAAAGAACCTGGGTAGGGAGTACCCTCTACCAGGGCGACAGATTGATTTTCCACAGATATTCACATATATGTCTATAGATAAACAGACAGACATTTTGGCTCTCAGTCGCCTCAACACAGTGTATTATCTCACACATACCTTGGGGACATTTACTGAACTTCAACGTATTTATTCAGTGACCTTAGCAGAGGCTCTTTGGTATCAATCCAAAAGAATTTATAAAATTATACGGTATAGCCATCTAAACCAGGATGTTTTTCTTTTGGTTAGAGAATATATATGCAAGAAAGTTAGGTTAATGAAATACAACATACCAGTATATCACTACATGCATTCAGGTCAGCAGATTTCATAAAACACAATCTATGATGGGGAAAGTGAAAATATGTGTGCTGTGCATAACCTCGGTAGTGATAGTTGCCCTTTATTGGGGGAAGAGTAAAATAAGCAACAGATATGCGGTGAACAACAAAGATTCTGGAAAAGGTAAGACGTCTCTGTCTTTAAGATAATCTGTGATGTTGACAATTTACGTACAGTTACCGACCAAGTATACAAACAAAAGAATTACTTAAAATTTGAATCCGAATGGCATTTTTGCACCTGACAATTTCGTTTATTGTCGTTTTTATTTGAAGATGTCTAACTGCTTATTCATGGCACCACTTGACGGCGCGGACTGCACACTTCAGCTCGCAGGTCACGCAAGGGTTTTTATAACTTAAAACCATTGATGCAAATTTGACGTTTTGATGTCTCAAAATAGCTGATGTTTTTGTTATTGTATCCGATCGAAATTACGGCATCTGGGTGTCACACAAGATTGCCGCACGGCATGCTTTTTTATGTCACCTCGGATTTTTTTTATGATGTTACAACCCAGCAGTCCCAATTAAGGAGTAGATCCACTTCATCGACGTCACTATAAAGTGACCAATCAGAATTTTTTCATTAAAGTTCCCCTTTTTTCACTATAAAATAATTTGAAAAATGCTGTGCATTTATAGTATTAAAATTTTAAAAAATCAGTTAACATCTCAGTATAACCATGGAAGTATTTCATCTAGACTACTCTATAATAACTCAGTATAACAGTATAACTTTAAGGGGAACGTCATTGGTTTATCAACAGAGTAACGTCTTCGGTTGTGTGTCGGCTGAAAAGTTTATTAAATTAGTATGCGTACGTGAACCAGAAAAATGGCTTCATTAAGGTCAGGAAACGATAAACAATCTCATACTTTGATAAAAATTGTACCTATATGAAGACTTAAACAAAATTTGCAGCTACTGGGCACAAACTGTTGCTCAAAATGGTTGTCACACCTAATAAAATGTATGCATTTTGTTACAAATATAAAATTTTGTTTATTGAACAGTTGTATCATTGCAGATACAAAATATTTTATCACATACAAAAGAAACGAAAACACGGTTATATTGCACACTTCCTGTGGATTGAATGTTTTCTTAATATCGCCCCTGAAAATGCGCCGTTTTCAATACAGATTCTGTTAATAGGTTAACGCCTATAAATCCCCACGAAATTTCAAAAGCCCTCCCAAATCCGCCCCAAAGATGTTCAGTTGGGTTCATATCTGGGCTTCTCGCGGGTTGATCCATGAGCAGAATGTTGTATTCGTTTTACAAATACCGTTGCCAAGTGGCCGGAATATTGCAAGTGTAGGCTAAATGTGATCATAGAAGTACTTCTATGATGTGATCGATTTATTTTGTAAGATATCTCTGAACGCCTTGGCGTTGGCGTTTTCTCACAGAAGAACGAATTGTCTCACACCTATGGAAAAAAAGTATCCCAAACATGAACAGAAACACCTCCAGTGGCCTCATCTACGTTTTCTTGTAACATCTGGCATGGCTTCAGCTCATACCACACGTATAGATTGGTGGTGGTCAGATCTCATCTTCCTCGAAAATCCACTTTATATCAACGCAACAACATCCCTTTTATAGCTAAGCTCGCAACATCTATTCACATACCCCTCACACCCGAAACTTAATTTTGGAACTGCCATCCATTGACGTGCTCATATTTGACCTAGTTTATATCAAATGGTCATTGCTTACTACCAAGAAGAAAGAATCCAAAATAACAACATAAATACAGCTTAAAATCCTATAACATTATTCAAAAACCCAAATTTTGCAGGGTGTGACAATTAACCACTTTGGGCAACAGTGTATAAAAATACGTATCGATTAACAACCTGGTTACCAATAATATGCAAGACAGGATATGTCTATGGTATGGATGACTTTAATCCTCTGATAGCGTCCTGGTGCGTATTTTCAAATGAAGTATACATACATACTCCACCTGGAAGTTTTTAAACAGTATGCATTGTGAAATATGACCACTTTTTCTTAGTTACAGATAGGACCAACCAAGGGACCAACCTTCCAGATGGGACGTATTTTTCCAGTGTTCGGCAATTTCCCGATGACACATCTTTTGCTGCTCTTTTACCGTACGAGGTCCCAGGACGGACATGTTCTCACGACAAATGTAAACAAAAAAGACATATTATTTTCTTGAAAGTTCATAAGTGCGGTTCTACCACTGTCTATTCAATCTTAGATCGTGCGGCAGCGAAATATGGGTTGGCTGTTTTAAAGCCACTGCCAGGAAGACCCAGTTTTTACCCGAGTAAAGATCTGAACTACCCGCACCTTCATGTAAGGAAGCCAACTTTCGCAGATGCCGCATACAGTCCTAACAAAACATATGATATGATGATTCATCACATGGTTTTTGATGCTAAAGTTGTAAACGCCATGATGCCGAAGGATTCATTTCGCATAGGAATTGTCCGTGAACCATTTTCTCAATTTAAGAGTGCCTTTAACTTTATGTCAATGAAAAGCAAATTTAATATTACATCCTCGAATAGTCTGCTAGCATTTTTCCAAAACCCGTATAAATATTGGAATATGTACATTCGCCGAAGTTATAATAGCTTTATAAGAAATGGGATGATGTACGAGTTTGGATTTCCAGATGACGACATGAAAATCAGAAACAACGAAACTTTTATCGAACAATACATTAATTACATAGATAAACAATTTGATTTTATCATTGTGAATGAACTCTTTGATGAAAGTTTGATTTTGCTTGGTAGAAAGTTATGCTGGAAGGTACACGATTTTCTGTATGTAAAGCGAAATGCTGGTAAGTACACTCCTGAATTTAAGACTGAAGACGACCCATGGATCATTCAACAACACAAAGCATGGAGTAAAGCTGACTATCACTTGTACGACTACTTTTTGACCAAAATGAAAAAGACAATTGCTTCTCAAGGTAAAGACTTTTATGACGAGCTTGCAAGTTTTAAAAATGCTTTGAAATGGGTGAAAAGATGTGGGTTTGAAAATGCGATAGATTCATGTCAACGAAATGTCAGTGGAACTTACGTTGCACTGCAGTGTGTAAAATTTGGCCGTTCAAATAAACAGAACTAGTCAAGTTTTACCGATCACTCGAATGAAAAAACGAAATCTTCACTAATTTAATATATGGTGCCTGTCACAGAAACCATTATCGTAGCTTGATCATTGCTAGGCAAATTCTGTTTGTCCAGATAAGATCTACATTCGATCAAAAAGTTTGGAAATAGGATATCGTTTTTCAAAAATTAAAAACTATGTAATGTAGTGGGGAAAATCTTTGGTACATATTAAAAATAAACGAATGGTAGGTGCATTATCCATCAATATTTGGTTAAATATTTACCTTAGCTGATATGGCTGTTTTATAATTATTCAAAATAATGATGTTTCCAAACTTTTTTGTACGAGTGTATTTGAGGACTATATTGTATGGAATCCCAGGAGGGCCAAATGAAATAAAAAAAAAAAATCATATTGAGATTTTATTGTGGCTTTTGCTGGCAAAATAATTTTATTATCTTGATCAATTTGAACTTAATGATATAATTTGCCATGTTTGAAACATCACGCCTTATAAGTAGCAATGTGCAGTAAGTTTCATGGAATAAAATATGAAATTTGAGATCAAGCATGGAGCTGAAAAAGGTGAAAATTAAAGGCCAATATGACTGCTTGTAAACTACTTTCATATCCGATAAACTATTAAACTTCGTGTGAGCATTACAATTTGACTTTTTCTCATATCTCAATGTATTTGACTGGATATGTGTTTTTATTCAGATCGATGATTTTTATTCTGTTATTGAAAGCAGGTTATGGGTTAGTTTGTCTTGTACATGTGGCCACTGTTCGTGGCGCAGTGGCGCCGCATAGGATGTCACGTGTCGCGCGTCTCTTTTTGAAATCTCGGGAACTTAACCATCTCTCGTGAAGCTAGGGCATATTTCAGTATTACAATTACAGTAAATAAGTGATATAAATATGTATGTTATGTAAATGTGGGATATAAAGAGGAATTGTGATGGTGATGAGAACTTAAATAGTGGGAATAAAGATGGTTTAAACAAACATCCACGGCCCTTGCTGTTTGTTTCCACTTGATCAACATCCAGGGACCTGTTTCACAATATAGCCTATCGTTCGTTGTACTGTTAGTCCGGAATTTTAGTTTATTTGGCCCTAGATAAATCCGTTGAAGTCCAAAATTTTCAAATCCTGGATTTGCATCCGTGTTAAAAGAAGAGATCAATACTTACTTTATTCAAAAGGACTATGATTATATGGATCAGTGGCTGACTTGGGGGGGGGGGGGATGTGGGTTTGAAAATGTGATACATGTCTGTCAAAAAAATGGCCCCGAAACAAAAGTTTCACTGCGGTGTGTGAAACATGACCGGAGAAATAAACAGAACTAGTTCGCTGCACTACTAGTATTAATGGACGCTGGACATGAAGAAAACACGTCTGACATGGTGCCTATGGAAAAAAAAACGGTTACCTTAGCTTAATAAGCATTGCCTAGGAAAGTGTGTTTGACTAGATAAGATTTAGCAAAGGACTATATTGAGATTTATTTATGTCTTTTTTTTTCAAAATAAATGTCATTTTGTGATTAACTTGCACCTATAAACGTAAACGTTTACATCTCGTGAGTAGCATTGTGCAAGAAAAAAATCATAAAATGGAATCTACTTCAGTGTTATTATTTCAAGAAATAAAACTCGTGTTATTTCAATTTATAAGATTCACTCCTTTATAAAGCAAACCCCAGTGAGAGCTTTATAAAGAATGTATACAGGGTGGCTCAAAATAACTTAAACAGTTTTAAAGACAGAACAATGAAACTTGGCATATTTTAGGGAAATGATGTTTTAAATAAATGATGAAAATTTCATGACTCTATCTTTCTTAGTTTCTGTATACCGACACCGAAAACCCTAAAATATTAAGAATATAAATGCCATGCCGGTGTGTTTGACTTCTGACAGGTGCCAGTGTCTGCCAGTTTTGACACCCGTCAATGAGTTTTTGTGATGATTATAATATCAAAACGGTTTCACTTTAACACTTGGAAGTTTTAGGGTTGAATAATAATATTGATGTTTCAAAAATTGGTCCAAAAATTCAATTCAAAAGCTGTGAACTGTTGAAGTTATTGGACTTTGAAATTAGTTACGTTTATTATTTTGCCAGCCATACACTATAAGATGTTAACATCACCAAACATAACTAGAATTTTGAAGCGCCTGGAAGCTTCTACTGTTAAATATGACCTAGAAGTATGTACAGATTAAAGTTTCTGAAAACATGTTGAATACTGGTGTCATCATACCGACTCCCAGAACGTTCTTGAAAGTTGTTTTGATTATCACAACGGTGTCCATTTCTGGAAGCGTCAGAAATATATGAAAATTTCTAAATCCACGGAACCTAAATAACTGGAAGGTATAATATCCCAAGAGACCAGGCAATGATCAAGCAAGGTTCGCTATTTGCACATTCCAAATTGAAATCAAAATGAATACTGTTTGTTCTAAATATGGTATGGTGATACATGTACACATGTACCTCAAGGTGAGTGCACGTTGTTGATGGAGGCAATCCTCTGAACCTTGCAACTTTCTGACGAAAATGGACGTGCCAAAATTACACATATAAGGATAAAATAAGCCATGTCTGTTAGCAAAATTAAAACAAAATGCTGACATACCAGGGTAGCATGGCGCTACTGGCACTAACTTTGAAAAAAGCCCCCGCAGTTCTTTCAAATGCATATACGTCAGTTCTTATTGAGTGGTCCGCCAAACCCTGTGTCCCCCATCAATATGCATCAATATAAATATGTGTCCAAAACAGTTTCGACAATCGTTTTAAACATTTGAAATTTTATTGGAGTACGTTTTAAAGATTTCATTCGAACTTCATCCGAACATTACCCTCACCTCTTCTGTACACAATTATTTTATTTTTGCAGGGTTTCAGCAAACGTCTCGAATAAGCACCAAAACATAACGGGCCTTGGACGCAAATAAATAAATAAATAAATAAATAAATAAATAAATAAATAAATAAATAAAGAGAAAAAAAACGTTGTGTTCGTCCAAGAACGGGTATAGGTCGTAAATATAGCTTGGGACCAGTTAGTGGTAATAAGATATTATTAATCATATATAAACCAGGTAGTGGTAATAAGAGGGTATCATAGTCAGTGAGTATTTTATTAAAATAAAACATGAATTTCTCTCAGCTGCTACTTTGATACCATCAATAATTTACTGTATACAACATTGCTCAAAAAGGTTGTCCCACCTCCAGTATCATGTGCTTTTATTTATAAATGATCACATCACAGGTGAAAATGGTTTTTTTCCGTAACTTTGTTTTATGCTGAGATTTAGTTGGGTCCACCTATGACGTTAAAGAGCACATTGGGATCAAAGGCGGTCTACACCAGGTTAAGCAAGCCCTTATAACAATAGGGAACCATTACAAAACATTCAAACGTGTCATAGCAATTGCAACAAATTTTGTGAAAACACATTTGGCATAGAATTCTGCAAAGAAGAAACCCTTTTTGTCTGCTGAACGCGGTTTACAGGTGGTATGACAGGGGCAAATCCAGGATTTGAAGAGGGGGGGGGGTCCGTTTTTTTACGGCTGACAGGTCTCGATTCGAAGCCGACCCTCGCCCCCCTTGTGGTGGAGTTCGGGGTCCGCTGAAGGGCCTCATAATAGGCCTACATGTATTTTGGTGTTTTGGAGGGCAAACGGTGCCTTTTGGAACAGTTAAGAACTATAAATCAGCTAGTCATAAATTCTAATTTCAAAGGGAAAATATTAGTGTGATATTTTTCAGAAACCGAAGGGGGAAGGTCAGGACCCCCCCCCCCCCCCAAGTCAGCCACTGATCCATATAATCATAGTCCTTTTGAATAAAGTAAGTATTGATCTCTTCTTTTAACACGGATGCAAATTTTGGACTTCAACGGATTTATCTAGGGCCAAATAAACTAAAATTCCGGACTAACAGTTCAACGAACAATATATTGTGAAACAGGTCCCTGGATGTTGATCAAGTGGAAACAAACAGCAAGGGCCGTGGATGTTTGTTTAAACCATCTATATTCCCACTATTTAAGTTCTCATCACCATCACAATTCCTCTTTATATCCCACATTTACATAACATACATATTTATATCACTTATTTACTGTAATTGTAATACTGAAATATGCCCTAGCTTCACGAGAGATGGTTAAGTTCCCGAGATTTCAAAAAGAGGCGCGCGACACGTGACATCCTATGCGGCGCCACTGCGCCACGAACAGTGGCCACATGTACAAGACAAACTAACCCATAACCTGCTTTCAATAACAGAATAAAAATCATCGATCTGAATAAAAACACATATCCAGTCAAATACATTGAGATATGAGAAAAAGTCAAATTGTAATGCTCACACGAAGTTTAATAGTTTATCGGATATGAAAGTAGTTTACAAGCAGTCATATTGGCCTTTAATTTTCACCTTTTTCAGCTCCATGCTTGATCTCAAATTTCATATTTTATTCCATGAAACTTACTGCACATTGCTACTTATAAGGCGTGATGTTTCAAACATGGCAAATTATATCATTAAGTTCAAATTGATCAAGATAATAAAATTATTTTGCCAGCAAAAGCCACAATAAAATCTCAATATGATTTTTTTTTTTAANTAAAATTTTTCCTCATATATGTGGCACTGATTCCTCTGACAGCGTCACATGTGGGTCTCCATCTGAAAATGAATTTTGTGACATATCTCTCATTTATAGTTTGAAAAACTTCAGGATACTCAAAACATTGTCGTCTCTGTTGAGTTTAAGTAAAATTTTCATTAATTTTATATTAATTTCTTACTGATATAAGTTGAAATTGTTTCTTAAATGACATAAAATAGTAAAAGTAATGAAGTTATTAGAAGGATCTTATAACAAGCAACGGTAGGCAGGCATCCCTGCATGTGATTTCCTTTTGAAACTTTTATTACCTATAGTAAATTAATATGGGGTTTTAGTAATAAAGGGATTTTGTTCTTAACATTTTATTGTGCAATATGTTCAAGATGTACTTGATTGTGTGTTTAGTCTGAAAGCAACTTATAAATGTGTAATAAAAATAAATCCTTAAACACATGATCCCACAGTTCACAGTGCGTCCGCTAGGGGCCAGCGGGGAGGCAGCTCTGCTGAGCAAAGAGCGCATCGTTTGCGGGGAGCTGAGGAGCGCGAGCATCTGGCGCAGCGCAAGTGGCGCGCGCCAAATGCTCACCGTGTGCAGGCCCCTTAAGAGAAGAAGTAAAGCAACAAA